AGTTGGTACAGCCAGTATGGAAAACAGTATGGAGGTTCTTCACAAAGTTAAAAATAGAACTACCATATAATCTAGTAATTCCAGTTTGGAGTACATATCTAAAGGAAATGAAATCACTATCTCAAAGAAATACCTGCTCCCTATGTTTTTTGCAGCATTATTCAACAATAGCCAAGACATGGGAACAACTTAAATGTCCTTTGGCAGACAAATCAGTAAAATAAATGTGGATAAAGCACACACACACACACACACACACACACACACACACACACAGAGTAAATCCTGCCTTTTGCCACATCATGGGTGAACCTGGAAGGTATTATGATAAGTGAAGTAATTCATAGACAAATACTGTATTAGCTTACTTATATGTGGAATGCAATAAAATAAACCATAGAAACAGAGAACAGATTGGTCGTTGCCAGATGCAGGAGATGTGGGATGGGGGAAATGGGTAAATGTAGTTAAAGGGTACAAGCTTATAAAATAAGTTCTGTATAGCATGGTCACTAAGTTAATAATGCTGTATTGTAAATTTGAAAGTTTAAGAGAATAGATCTTAAAACTTCTCATCAAAATAAATAAAATATGTAACTAGGCAAGGTGACAGATTTTAAGTAATCTTAATGTGGTTATCATTTTGCAGTATATACATACATCAAATCGTTATATTGTACACCTTAATCTTATACAACGTAATATGTCTATTATATCTCAATAATACTGATGGAAAAAAGAAATACAAAATATGAGCAGACCAATAATGACTAAGTATATTGAATTAGTAATCAAAAACCTCCCAAAAAGAAAAGCCTAGAACCAGATGGTTTCACTGGGGAATTCTGTGGAACATGCACCAGTCCTTCTTAAACTTTTCCAAAATTTTGAAAGGAGTACTTCCAGACTCATTTTATGAGTCCAGGATTACACTAACACTAATGCCAGATAAAGACAATAGAAGACAATACAGGCCAATATTTCTGATAAACATATATGTAAAAATTATCAACAAAATGCTAGCAAACCAAGTTCAACAGCACATTAAAGGATTGTACACCTCTTCTAGTGGGATTTATCTCTAGGAAGCAGGGATCATTCAACATATGCAAATCAATAAATGTGATTCACCACACTAACAGAGAGTAAGATAAAATCAAATATCATCTGTCAGATGCAGTAACAGCATCTGACAAAATTCAAAATACTTTCATGATAAAGATTCTCAATAAATTTGGTATATAAGGAACATACTTCAACATAATCAATGCCTTATATGACAAGCTTACCACAATTAATAAGCATGCTCAATGGTGAATGGTTGAAAGCTTGTCCTCTAATATCAGGAACAAGACAAGGATACCAACTCTCACCACTTCTATTCAACATACTGCTGGAAGTCCTATACAGAGCAATCAGGCAAGAAAAAGAAATAAATGAAAGGAAGAAGTAAATTTTTCTCTGTTTGCAGATGACATGATTTTATATATATAGAAATATCTAAAGTCTCCTAAGAAATTTAGAATACTAGAATAATATTGGAATTCAGTAATGTTTCAGAATAAAAAATACATGTATAAAAATCATTTTTGTTTCTGTTAAAATGAATATTCAAAAGAGAAATTAATGAAACAATCCCATTTTCAACACACAAAATGGGATAAAGTACTTAGGAATATATTTAACTTAAGAGGTTAAAAATCTGTATATTTATAAAATTGGACATATATAAAAGAAATTTGGAAATTTATAAAAGAAACTGAAGAAGACATAAATAAATGGAATGATATTCTGTGTTCATGGATTGTAATACTTAATATTTTGAAATTGCCCCTACTACCCAAGGCCATCTATAGATTTATTGTAATCCCTATCTCAAATTTCATGGCATTTTTTAACAGAAGTAAATAGAGCAATTCTAAAATTCATATGGAATCACAGAAGATCCTGAATAACCAAAGCAATCCTGAGAAAGAAGAACAAAGCTGCTGGCATCATGCTTTCTGACTTTAAGCTTTATCCCAAAGCTATAGTAATCAAAACAATCTGGTACTGGCATAAAATCTGACATATAGTCTAATGGAAAAGAAACAAGAGCCCAATTATAAACCCATAGTCAACTAATATTTATCAGGAGGCCAGGAATACTCAATGGAAAAAGGATAGCCTCTTCTATAAAAAGTATTGGGGAAACTGGGTATTTACATGCAAGACAATGTATTAGACCCCTATCTTAAACTATTCACAAAAATTAACTCAAAATGGATTAAAGACTTAAGTATAAGACTCAACACCATAAAAAAGTCCTAGAAGAAAATGTAGAGAAAATACTCTTTGACATGGTTTTGGCAACAAGGTTTTGAACATGACACCAAAAGCACAAACAACAGAATAAAAAATAGTGAGGCTACATCAAACAAAAACCTTCTGCACAACAGAAGAAACAATCAACAAAATGAAAGGGCAACCTACAGAATAAGAGAAAATATTTGCAAAGTACATATTTGATAAGGGATTACTATGCAAGATATATGAGCAACACATACAACTCAACTAAAAAAATAGTTCAATTAAAAATGGGCAAAGGATGTAAATAGACATATTCCCAAAGAAGATATTTAAATGCCCATGTAAATGTTCCACAGGTATAAGAAAGGATGTTCAACATAATTAGTTATCAGAAGAATGTGAATCAAAACCATGAGTTTTTGTATTTGTTAGAGTGGCTGTTATAAAAAAGAAAAAAAAAAACAAGATATAGCAAGTGCTGGTGAGGATGTGGAGAGAAAGGGAATGGGCACTGACGGTAGGAATGCAAATTGGTAAGCTACTGTAAAAACAGTATGGAGGGTCCTTAAAAATTGCAAATAGAGCTGTGTGTATGGGAAGAAAATGAAATCAGGATCTCAAAGAGATGTCTACACCCCATGTTCATTGCAGCATTATTCACAATAGCCAAGACAGCAAGTAACCTGCATGTCCTTCAGCAGATGAATAGATAAAATAAATGTGGTATATACAATGGAATATTATTCAGCCATAGAAATAAGGAAATCCTGTCATTTATGGAAACATGGATGGACTTTGAGGCATTATACTATGTGAAATAAGCAAAACAAAAATACAAATACTATATGATCTCACTTATATTAGAATCTAAAAAAGGGAATTTATAGAAACAGAAAGTAGATTGGTGGTTGCCAGGGCTGGGATTGTAGGGCATATCAACATGTTGGTCAAAGGGCACAAACTTTAGTTATAAGATGAAGAGGTTCTGGGGATATAATGTACAGGATGGTGACTGCAGTTAACAATATCTTATTGTGTACTTGGGAGTTGCTGAGAGTTCTTAAATGCTCACACCACACAAAAAAGGTAATTTTGTTAGGTGATGGATATACTAACTTTATTGTGGTAATAATTTTGCAATATATATGTATATCAAATTATTCATATTGTACAACTTAAACTTACAGAATGTTATATTTCAATTATATATCAATAAATCTGGAAAACAAAAGTAAGAACCAAAACAAAGCTTTTAGAAAGAACTGATTCCTTCCCACTTAAGTGCCAAAGACTGGTGATGGCTCAATATGACACTACTTCTAGTGTAATGGGATCAAGTCATCAAACAAAGGCAAACAAATAAGCTGTAATGTTGAAATTACAGACATTGGCCAGCAGATGAGGAACTTTTTTCGGAGCAGCAGAAAGGTCTTCATTGAATTCTGAAATCATATGCTGTATGCCTCAGCCTATTATGTCCTGAATATAGGTTAGGATTAAACTTTCAGTTTAGCCTCCCACTCCCACCTGTATCGTCTATTCATGTGGATTTTGTTTTGATGGTTGCAAACACTTCTATGAAAGTTGCAATCGCTGAACTGTTCCCTTTGAAAGGTTACAAATATATTCCAATCTTCCTTGTATTCCATGAATCATGTCTTCTTTGCTTTCTCCCATCTACCAATGTCACTTCCATATTAAATATGGTTTCAGCATTCTCAACCTGGTGTAGAATACTGGATCACTTGTACCTTGACTTTTAGAAAACCATTTATCCACCAAAAAACCTGCTTTGAAGTCAATAGTTCTTAACAGGTTCTTTTGACACTTTGGGAGGGTTGAGGAGGGAGGAAACGAAAGACTTTTGAAGTTAAATGGAAATTGTTGGGTGACTTCCAAGAACAGTCCTGTGTAACAGTCTCTTAAAAAGAGGTTGAATGGGAAAGAGCCAAACCATAAGAGACCCTTAAAAACTGAGAATAAACTGAGGGTTGATGGGGGGTGGGAGGGAGGGAAGGGTGGGTGATGGGCATTGAGGAAGGCACCTGTTGGAATGAGCACTGGGTGTTGTATGGAAACCAACCTGACAATAAATTTCATATTAAAAAAAATAATAAATAAATAAATAGAGCTTGGACTGAGAAATCAAAGAATGTGAACTCTGTCCCTCACTTTATGACCTTGAGTGTGACATTTCACCCCAGGTCTCAGTGTCGTCATCTGTAAAATGGATAGTGGCAACACCACAAACTTCTCAGTGATACCTCAGTAGATGGGAAAGCATGTGTTGTTGCAGTAGTCACACCATTCCAAAATCTGTTAAGGAATGTAATTCTTGCCTTGGAGATTTTCTTTTTAATTTTTTTAACATTTTATTTGCTTTTGAGAGAGAGACAGAGCATGAGTGGAAGTGCAAAGAGTGATGGAGACTGAATCTGAAGCAGGCTCCAGGCTCTGAGATGTCAGCGCAGAGCCCAACATGGGGCTCAAACCCACAAACTGTGAGATCATGACGTGAGCCGATGTCGGATGCTCAACCGACTGAGCCACCCAGGCGCCCCGTATTCTTGCCTTGGAGATTTTCAATTCTAATTCATGCTCTCTAAAATTGACTACCTTGAATTTTCCTTCCAAAGTGGCCACTGGGTCATTTGAGAAACCCCTTGCTACTTAACTTATACCATTTCCCTTTGATCTCCCCTCTACTCTAGGTGTCAACTCTGCCCGCTCAGTTCCTCCTTCCTACCCACCACCGCAGGACCCGTTAAACCAGGGCCAGTACCTGGTCCCCGACGGCATCGCTCAGTCGCAGGTCTTTGAGTTCACCGAACCCAAGCGCAGCCAGTCACCATTCTGGCAAAACTTCAGCAGGTTAACCCCCTTCAAAAAATAATACCTACAGGGAGGCAGATAATTTTAAAATAAAGTAAATAAAATTATATTTATAGATGGACATTTTTTTGGAGAAGCACTGTTGAAATTTATATATATATAAATATATATAAGCATATATATATTTATATATATAGAGACATATATATACACATAGACCCTTGAGTATACACATAAACACACACACACACACACACACACACACACACACACACACACACAGAAGGACCAAAAAACATTTTCTGTTGTTTTGGGGAAGTGAAATCTGTAGTTGGTAGGAAGAGGTACCAATGACTTCCAAATATGTGATCCCTTGTTAAAAGCTTTCTGTTCTTACCTTGTCCTCCTCCCCTTTATTTTCAGAAAATACTATTTCTATGTGTTCCTTTTCTTGTTGAGATAATCTCTTTGCTCCCCTGTGAGTGATTCATTGACTTGTCATTATTACCATAGATGTGTTTGTATTGCCTTTTTTCTTTCCTGATGATACTGATACTGATGACTTTTGAATTTAATTTGATGTGATAGAGTTTGGGAGTTTAAATTTCTTTTTTTTGTTCCTTTTACTATTCAATGGGTAAAGGGAAGATACACCTTTCTCTTCTCCCTCAGCTGATCATCTGTGAATGTTTCTGCAGCCTGGCAGTTGCCCCAGACAGCCTTTTCCCTGCATCATCTGTCCTCAGTCGTGCCAGTCTAGACATGCTCTGTTGTGCTCTGTGACATACTGCCTGATATTTCTCTTGCTTTCACTGTGTTTTAGGTGTTGTAGAGGGATCAAAACCAAACAGAATCAAGGGAGAGTCAGAGAATAATAATGCTGGAAAGGACTTCTGTTCAGGGAACATTCTGCATTTGGGCTCTTCTCTAGCACTGGGATTTCCATGTTGTAGCACTGCTGGGTCATGACAGTTTTGTATCTGGGGTTTAGTTTGAGCCAGTTATTCTCTTTTTCAAGCTGCTTTGGTTATGCTGTTCCTTGTAGGCCTCTCCCTCCCCTAAGCTAAAAGATTTGAATTTGAAGCAAAGAGGATGAGGCTCTGCTTCCTGGGGAGAAGGATTCAATTGCCTCCAGCACCAAATGGGCTTAAAGTTGGGGTTCCCCACTGCAATCATTTCAGGGGACTGGTCATCCCTACTTACATTTTCAGATAGTTTAGGCAGCATTTATAGGAGTCTATGAAGGGGTCAAGACAGAGCCCATCTGACCAAGATCATCAGCTGCCTTCAAATTATTGACCTGGACAGGATACAAAACTGACCTTAAACTCTTGAAGGAAAGAACAGGGATGGACATGGAAAGAGACAGCCTCAGCCCCAGATATGTACCTGCAGTTCCTACCACTCAGGTTTTGTGAGACTTCCCCTATTGTTAACAGAATGCATGGACAATCTTCCATGATTCCTTCCTTCCCCTCTCCCTATAGTCCTTGTTTCTCCTGTTCTGGCACAGGAGAATTGCTGCTATTAGCATAGTTAAAGAACTCCTGTGACTCTAAGTAGGCCCTGTTTCCAGTATTCTCTCATCCCAGGACATTGGAAGCAAGTAAGTGAAGAGCCCAGGGGACTCTTCCCTGTGGAGAAAAGATCTGAGGTAGAGACAGTACCCTCAGGCTTATTTTAGGCAGGCTTTATACTTGGGCAAATCTAACTTCTCCCACTAAGGGGCAGGCTCCCTATGGGTGCAGGAGTGCCTGTTCCTCCTCCCCACATAGCCCTTCAGGTGAACAGACCTTGAACAGCAAGGGAATGAAGTACAAAGAAGTGAGAATGGGCCCTGCTATGGAGAACCACTTAAGGGAGGAATCTGGAAATTGTGAGTCTGTTCTGAAGTCTATGGGAGAAAACTTCATCATGAAAGGACCTCAGCTTACTAAGCAGCAGCTATGGCTGCATGAAGTCCTCAGCATAGCTGACTTGATTGCCGCTCTATGCCTCCTGACCCAGACCAGGCCCTGCCCAGCCTGGGAGTTTTTCCTCTGTGGGAATCAAATTACAAGCTGTTTATGCTTCCATTCCACCACATTCAAATCAGACTTGCGGGGTAAGCCAAGGGTAAACCTGAGCTGGGCAGAGGGCTGGGGCTTGGGACTGGCCATGGCTGCTCAGCAAATGACTCAGCTACTTAAGCCCCCTTGGCAAGGAAACTGGTATCCAGCACCTAAGCTAAAACGACTTCCCTGGAAAACAGCATGTATTTCAATGGCTGTGTAGGCCTCCCTTGAGTATACATCCTTTTCCTACTTTCCATTTTTCTCCACTAGGCTTAACTGTGACATTTCTCCAGGGGCTAGGAGCAAACCAAGAGGAGATGCTTGGCCAAGTCCCTGGGCCTACAACATCTCTTAGCCAAGCCCCCTTACCCTCCCTCGATGCCCTTCTCCCCTGAGCCTGTCTCAGAGCTCCAGGATCAGGGGTATTACCCCTTGCCACCCACCTTTCATCTACCCAAACCACTGGCCTCACCAAATGCCAATAACTAGTGAAAACAATGAAACATCAGTTTACCATTGGTTGGAGTGTTCCCCCAGCTTATGGTAGCAAAGCAGACCAGTGATCAACAACCCCAAGTAGAGCCCTATTACCTGAGATCAGGGTCCAGGTCTATTCTGTGTCCCCACAGCAGTGCTATCCCCAAGAACTCTGTAAATCTCCTCTATGTGTGCATGGCCCCCGAGCTCCCCTTTCCTCAATTCAATGAGGCCTGGATTTGCTCTTCAAAAGGCTTTGCTAGTGTGTTTTATGGGCCCTGCTGTGGGATGGTCCTAACACAGAAATCCAACTCCTCTTTCTCTCTCCCTCTCTCCTCTTCTCTCTATGTGTATAACTCTAATGGATTTATCAAGGACAGCAACAAGAGAGTTCTAATAATTCTAGTGTGAAGCCAAATAGTGATCTTTTAGTGCTTTGGGGCTGGGGTGGGCTGGGGTGGATAGATGGGTAACAGTGATTTTGATTACCCCTGCTGCTCTGCATTTGCCAGTTTATTATTTTGTTTATTCTGACTGTTTGACCCTGTCAAACAAGTGTCAAAGTTGTGTGTTTAAAAAAATGTTTAACAACAAAAATATGATGTTGTAATGACACAAAGCCTTATGAAAATATTTATGGAGTTCAATAAAAGAAGTAAAAAGACACTTCCAGGCACAGCTTTCTTGCCATTGTGTGTGTGTGTGTGTGTGTGTGTGTGTGTGTGTGCGTGTGTGTGACTAATTGCAAAATAAATGGAGTTTCCTGATCGGGGGCAGTTTATTCCAACCTAGTCTTGGCCTGCCAACCATGCTATTCCATTGTCAGGCATCTCATGGGCTGTTTATGAACTTCCATGTCCTTTCTAGAAGAGTGGACCATAAGAACCAAGTTTGATCCTGTAACCAGGGACACTTCAAGTATCTTTATACCTGGGACTGTCCTTCATGTCACCTGTCCCTTTAATAAGACTTGAGGACCCATTCCTGACCCCATTCTTTTTTCTGCAGCTACAAGTCCAGTACCTGCCCTGGGCACTCACATGAGCTTAAAAGCTGCTTTTTGGACCCACTCAGAGGCCATATCATATTCTGGTTCTTTCTCCTCAGAAGTGGACACATTCCTTAACCATTACCCAAAGTGGGTGGAGTGACCTTACAGATATTTCATCATAGTGTTGCCTGCAAGTAGATGCTCCTTGCTGCCTACAAAGCCTCAATGTGGTGTCTTAACCTGTCCATCAGAGATGCAATAGTGGGTTTGTTCTGGCAGTGCCTCACCTGCCTGCTTCCAGAGTGACTAAACACCCTAATAAAGTGCTTATTTACTAAAAGGGACCAGGTAATTTTTCCAAGCTACAGAGTTAGGAGGAGGAGCAGGTGTGGTACCTCTAGGTCAGGGTGTGAGTCCTGTGTATCTAGGTCTAAAGGATGCCCTTAATCCCAGATTTGGAGAAAGTAATTATTAAAATATATCCTTGAGTAAACTACTCTTTCTCCATTTCTTGGCTTTCTCTTAATTTAACCTCTTTCCCTTTCCCATGGGTTCTGACATCTGTTTTATCACACTCAGAAACCTCAGTTCTCAGCAGTCCCTTCTCTGTCTTGCTAATTCTCAGCTTCATCAGCTTCCAAAGGTGAATCTCAATTACCCCCTGCAGAGCAAGAGGACTGTCTCTAGTCTCAGTACTCCCTACCTTCTGGGGGTTCTATAATGGAGAGTTTGGAGACAAATTCTTGAGGTCTTACACTCTGAGGTGCAGCTGATTCGCTCCTAAGGTACCTAAAATCAAACACGTCTCATCACCAAAAGAATAGCTCTACTAATTACAAGTTTATTTGCTAATAGCATTTATCCACTTGCTGCTCTCAGTTTTGTTACAAAACACCCTATATCCATTGATTAAAGTGCAACTTGACTAATTAACTTTCCAATTTGCCTTTTTTAATGTTTATTTTGAGAGGGAGAGAGAGCATGAGCATGTACATGTGAGTTGAGGAGGGACAGAGAGGGAGGGAGAGAATCCCAAGAAAGCTCCACACTATCAGTGCAGAACCTGATGCAGGGCTTGATGTCACAAACCATGAAATCATGACCTGAGCCAAAATCAAGAGTCATACACTTTACTGATTGAGGCACCCAGGCACCTACAATTTGTCTTTCTATTTCTAAGTTTCTCCCCTTGACTAGGTATAGAAGGGACAGTAGATTTAAAGTATCATTTTTAGGAGGCTTTCAAAAGAGGAAGGCCTTAGCTCATCCCAAGATCATTGTATCATGGATGATGGCTGCTTATTCTACTTTCCTCAGGATCTTCTGGGAGGCTCAGAGGTAGAAAGAGAGATCTGTGGTGTGCCCAGATAGGCAGAACTAGAATGGAGAGGGGAAACTCTTCCCAGCTTCCAGGAAAGTCCTCTTCCTAGAACAAGTCATCCCCGACCTATGTGTATATAGGGTCTGATGTAGGAGGCCAATGACTTCTTTAAATATGACAATTTATCCATTTTCAATGACCTTACCATATCTAGGGTCTCATGTAATCCTCCCGACACCCATTTGGCAATGGGGTTATTAGCCACATTTCACACAGAAGCCAGAGGCTCATTTGAAGTGACCTTCAACCTTGACAGGTTACCAAACATGTGAGTATTCATCACTTAAACCCCACCCCCATTCAAACTGATCTAAGTTCAGAGATGCTTGCTCTCACGGGGCTGCATGGGTTGGGGAATGGCTGGAAGCAAAAATATGAAATGAGCTGATATTAACATGTGAATGAGTATAATTCCTTGTAGTCTCCCTGAGAGCCCTCTTAAGTTTTCTAATATAGGCCTCCAACATGTGATTGCAGTCGTAGGTCCTTTTGTCCCTTAGTACTGATAGCAAGTGAGTGAAGAACTGAGGCCTCTGATTACTTCAGTGTTTCAGCCACTGAGGCCACCACTGTGCTGCTTGGCCCACTTAGTTTTGGCCCCTTTGGGATTTCCTTAGTCATGCTGACCTGCTTACTACTGGCTTCCAGAAGCTTCTAAGATATGGGGCTGATGAAGTAGATCTTATTTGCCCAGGTCTTTCCCTGCCAGGACCAAGATAGCAAAGTGAGACTTCTTGGCATAAGTCTTAAGTCCACTACATGCAGGACAACAGTTCAGCCTGGCCATAGGTAGATTAAATCAGCTGGGTTTGCAACACAGTTGAAGAAAGACATTTGGCAGTAAGATTCATGTCCCCTGGAAGCATACTATTCTTGTTTAATCTCCTCAATTTCTGTCTTGGGCTGTGTCCTCCTTCTCCAGGAGTGTCACAAGGACACTTTTCTCATATAGTTGAGAAAGGGGTAGGGGGAAGATGGTACGTGGGCATACAGTAGACCTGTGTTTTTCAGAAACCTCTATTATTTCTAGTTAGCTCACCAATAGGTTATTTAAGACAGATTCCTAGATGATGCTATATCCATCTCCACAATAGCCATGCTTCTTCACAGATCTGTCAACCAGATGAATGAGATTCAACCCACATATCCTGAGTATGTACTCTGGGCCAGACGTTGTAAGGATACCAAGATGACTAAAATAAAGTTTCTATCTATGGTCACTCAGAACATATAAGAATGGATCATAACAGGGATGGATGGGGGCCTGGAGATACTCAGAGAATGGAGAGGTTAATTCTGATTGAGGAAATCTTTGTAAACAGTAAGGATAAGTTTGTGCTGAAGGAACAGATAGTCCCCAAATCTCAATGGCTTAATATACAAGAGTTTATTTCTTCCCATGCGAATCTTTCTGTAGGTCCTAATAGCTCTCCAAATCAGCTATATTCCATGTGATAGTACATGGTCTGGGGTGCTTCTGCCTTGCTATACCTCCATCTTTTTTTTTTTTTGATGGAAATGTTCTTTTTTTATTATGAAATTTATTTTCAAATTGGTTTCCATACAACACCCAGTGATCATCCCAACAGGTGCCCTCCTCAATACCCATCACCCACCCATCCCTCCCTCCCACCCCCCATAAACCCTCAGTTTGTTCTCAAAAGACTGCTATACCTCCATCTTAACACATACTTCCATAATCATCACTGCTGGAGAAAGAGCCTTAGAGTGTTTCCCACTTACACTTTAAATTCTCTATCCCTGCTTTCAATCACAGTCCAAAGGGCCAGAATTGATCACATGGTCTCATCCCACTTCAAGGGAACAGGAAACTGTAAATGTCCTATGGGTTCAGAAGGGAAGGAGAACTAGATATGGATGAACATTAGAAACCTCTACCAAAGAAAGAAGGGTTTGAACGGCCTCAGAAGACAGGGAAAATTCTACCATGTTGCGAAGGTTAGAGCAACTAAGTTAGGGGGAACAGTACACATAAGATCATCCTTCCTTCTGACACCAATTACAAGTCCAGGGATTCCCAAGACCATTATTAGGTTAGATAATTCACTAGAAAGACTCACAGAGCTGTTATAGCTATGGTTTATGAAACCTATATAGTGCAGATTAAAATCAGTTAATCAAAGAAACCAGAGAAGAGTCCAAGAAAGAACCAAATGGAGAGCTTCAGTTGTCCTTTCCCTGTGGACTTGGAACAGTGTTACTTATTTAGCATCAAGATATGACAATTTGCATTGAGTATTGCTGGGAAGAGAAATTCACTCAAGCTTCTAGAGATTTTATTGGGGCTCCATCACTGTCCCTGTAGCTGATCCTAGTCTCCAGTCTCCTCAGAAAGTGGGCTGATGTCAGGTAAACCAGAGAACCACCATAAATCACATCTTTGATGTGGCCAAAAATGCCACCCTAAATCACATTGTTAGACTGTCAGGTGACCAGAGGCTCCCAGGCAAACAAAAACATTCTTATCAGAGACAACATTCCAAGTGCTTAAAGATTACCTCCCAGAAGCTGAAAGTAAAGGGAAGATCTCTCTTTGGGCAAGATTAAAGTCTTTACACACATATGGAAAATTCATGGAGCAGAGTTTGGAAAAAGGAATAGATACAGAGTATTCCGAGTGAAGAGAATGACATGACTAAAATCCTGGAAGGTCAGATCATATTGAGTAAAAGCCTCTGTATTCATTTATTTATTAAGCCACAAAATATTTACCTGCATGCCAGGTAAACACTTCTAGTTTGTAGAATATAGAAATAAACAAATTAGATATTGCTCCTACTTGCATTGTGTTTATGAATGGTAAACTGCTTTCAGGTACAAATTTCTGTGTAAGTGTGAATTTTGGGGATGAGAGATGGGAGATTCAAAGCTCTCATAGCAAGCCAACCACAAGTTGACCTTCAGCTAGAACCCTCATAAATGTCCAGCCTCCTGGTCACCAGATTCCATACCCTCTGTCTCCTGTTCAGCCTTAGCTAAGGCAACCCGCACTCATTTTCAGTCCTAAATATGTATGTCTAGAATATAGCAGACCAGAATTACTTCAGGCATGGTGATTACTGTTTTCCTTGTCCTGGGAGTAGCCCTTAATGAATGACTGATGAAGGAAGGTATAATTGTCCCAATTCCTTTGCTCCTCAGGTGTGACAATTCAAAAGTGTATTTGACGCTTTTCCCTGGAGCTTCTCTAGGGATCCAGCTTCAGCTGCCTACTGGTTTAATAACACACCCCTTATTGGCTGCCTTCACTTACCCATATAACTTACTCCCCTC